CCCCAAAACCCCAAAACCCCAAAACCCCTGTGGATAATAACTTATTTAGAAAGTGGAAAGAAATTCAAAGATAAAAACATGATATGCATGGTAGATAATCACATATTTTATTAATAATTTAACTAATTTTAAAGTAACATGACTTTTGCAAGTAAGTGTTTCATCCCAGACCTGCTCCAATCTCTTTCTCAAAATCAAATAATTAATGATTATTTTAGGAGAAGATCAAGACTAGTAGTATTCTTAAATGAATGACAATTACTAACAGTCTGTATTTCAAAACCAAGAGGAAGGCATGAACCACCCACTAAATGGATAGTAAATTTACAATACATAACAACAATAACAACATCTTACCGATAATCATATCAGTAGAATCGGGGCCATCACTTCTACTAATCAATACTCTAATTTATCTCAAGTTGAATAACTGAAAGCATTCTTGACTAAGTTGTTTTCAAGTGAGGAAGTGAGATCATTAGCTGATGCAAGACTTCGTATAGAAGAGGAATTTGAGAATAAATTCTTGCCTGAGAGAGATCTCCTCGACTATCTCATCATTAAACAGGAATTCGCTAAGAATGCCAACAATAATAAAAAGCAGTCGCTTAGACAAGCGCAAAATAGACTGAATAAATTTGCTGCCAAGAGAAGTGATAAGTATAAATAGAAAAGAAATAAGTCTAATGTGAGCATGAACGAATTGGATAGAGAGGACAGTGACTAGAATCAAAATGAAGATGCTTATGAAAGATTAGAACATGATGATGATTCTGATCCTTCAGACCTTGGCGATAATTTTTCCTACGGTCATGAGAGCAACCATAATGACAGAGAACAATTGAATAGAGGATGGAATAATGAAGAATAGGAAGGAGATCATTCTAATCATGAGGATAATGAAAATACTGACAATGATGGAGACATTGATCAAATGATGGATGTAGACGAGGGCCAATCTTTTGAAAACTCCTAAACTCAAAATGCAAGCAGACTAGAGAAGCAAACTAAAATTAATCACTCTAAATTTCTAGAAGATAGAGTTAAGCACAAGAGCCAGCATACTTAGGAGGATCAAAAAGAAGAAGAGGAGAAGAATTAAATGAGTGGGGGAAAGAAATAGTAAGTTGAGAGAACTTTCCTTGAGAAATGTAAACTCGTCGGGAGAATTGGACCAATTGAGACTAAACTTTAAATTGATTAAATGCAGGGAAATGTTAAGTAGTTTGATCCTCTTGGACTTGATGTCGAGGCTCTCACTTCTTACGCATCGGTAAAGGCAAATGTAGCAGTCTTTAGTGGCAAGTATTATTATGAAGTAAGACTGCTCACTGCTGGAATTATGTAAATTGGTTGGTGCACACTTGCAACATATTTTTCAGAATAGTATGGTGTAGGTGATGATGCTACATCCTATGCTTACGATGGAGCCAGAGTAAAGAAATGGAATTAGCAACAAAGGGCTTATGGGAAAGCTTGGTGTGCTGGAGACATTATTGGGACACTTTTAGACTTAGATAAGAAAGAGATCACTTTCTACAGGAATGATGAAAACTTAGGAGTAGCCTTTAGAAATATTAAAGTTGGTCAAAATATGGCTTACTTCCCAGGAGCAAGTTTAGCCAATGGGTAAAGAGTCATATTTAATTTCGGTGCTTCGATACCTTTTAGAGCCAGATAGCCTTATGATGTCTGTGCAATATAAGAACCAACCAGCTAGGTAAAATGCTATGGTGATTGTGCTTTGTTCCTAATTGAAACAATGAAAAGATTTGTAATGCAGTATGTAGAATTTGAAACACTATCAAATGATACCAAACTTATGGTTGGCTCAATACTTATGGAATATCTTTATCCTTTGCTATCAAATGATCCATTTTTAATGGAAGAGTAACTGGTATAATTCATTTTTGAATTGATGAGCATTAATAGACCTGATCTAGAAGAAATAATTCTAAATCTTATAGAAATTCATTTTTCAGCAGATTAATTAATCGAATGGATAAGTCAGCTTATGCAAATTATTTGCAGGAAAATTAGTCAAATTCCATTGATCCATGCTGACTCTCCTACTAAAAGAGAATTTGAATTGAGTATTATGAGGTTTCTTGTTATTGCTCTACAAAGAGATTCTATTCTATATTCTTGGCTTTGCTCAGATACTCTGTACTAAGATTTGGAAAATCTTTACTTTTTACACTTCCCAACTTAGCAGGAGATGGAATAGCTTATCCCAGATATCTATCATGAGATGATCCCTGGATCTGAAAGACATAAGGAAAAATATGAATAAAAATTGAATCAACTTAAGAGTAACATTTCTTTGCAATAAAATTACTGGTTTAAGATTACAGAACTCCTATTCTAGAAAAGAGTTATCAGTAAAATACCAGATGCAACATTGGATAAATGTCCTAGAACCATTTTCATTGACTTCTTGAAGTATCTTGTCTATAAGAATGTTGGTTATATAAAGAATACTAAGCCTCCAGGTTTGACACCTGCAAGTACTTTGGGGAATGTATTCTTCTGTGCCGTTCGACATATGGAGGAAGTAGTCTACAGCAAAGACTTTGAAAGTTTTCCTTTCCATACATTTTTCACGAAAGACTAATCAATGAGTTACTTAGATGATGTCTTCAAGCAAGTTGAAAGAATTGGCGGAACATTCAGCTATCTTGAAAGCCATCTTCAACCTAGTCTTAATAAATTCAAAAGTATATATCTGACTCAAGAGTAAACTGAAACTGCTGCTCTTGCTAAAAATTTGACTTTGATTTTCACTTTTGGAGTAATCCAGGAAATTCAAATGTTTGTGAAGTAAAATGAAAAAGTATATGTGGCTTGTAGAACTTATGATGACTTGACTGATAAGGGCAAATATGAAGTGGGACCAAGATAAATTGAAGAAATGCTTCAATAGGCTAGAGTCTTGCCTTCTTTTCAAATGATATTCTAAATTCCTTCAAATAGAGTTCAACTCCATAAATTTGCCTATTGGTTGACAAAAACATTGAATTACATAGACTTAAACTATAAAAACTTGCTATACATATTGCCAGAAGAGTTCGTACAAATCCCTTTTGAAGTATTTAGAGTGTCCAAAAGAGGAAATATTCCTCTATATGACTCAGAATCAGACTAGAAGAAATATCCTGAAGAATTCTATGAGATCTATCATAATAAAAAGACTAGATTTTCAGAGGAGTTAGTCCAGTTTATATCTAGACACTTTTGGGACTAAAACATTATTAATCCTGACTTGAAGGACTAATATTTGACTAGGTTAAATATTGTCATGCAAAATCAAATCTATATGGATATTATTGAAAATTGCTACTATGCCTAATAGAATCTTGTGTAGGACTTAATGAAAAGCTTTGACAAGAAATATTTGATGTTAGTTTCCAAGAATTTCCTAAGGTTTGCAAAAGGAAGAGGTTTCAAAGAAATACATTTGAGTCCAATAGTATCGGAAAACACTTACTCTCCATTTTATCTGAATGAAATCAGAAATTAACTACTAAAAGCTGGTGATAAAGTAACCAAAGACTTCTTAAATGTATTTTTCAACACATTGAATGAATCAACTACAGAGCTATTTGTGATTTTTAAGGAACTTAAAAACAGCTACACTTAAAATCTACTCAAAAGAACAAGATAAACATTTTAGTAGGTTGTCGATCTTTACAGAATTATTGAGGTGATAACCCAGTATGTTCCAGAGGTATTTGTTGATAAGCAATAGATCCATTCTACTAGACTTGTCAATTATATGATGTTTGTTTTGAATTCAATATTTGTTGGTTAAATTGATGGTAATATTGATTTCTTCTCAGCTAAAATCATGCAAAAATCTGAATCATTAGCCTAGTTTTTAGCCCCATTTATTGGTATTTTGAAAAATATCTATGATGCAGTGAATAAACTTGGCAATGTCGATAATGTCCGTTATGATAACTTAGCTGATATCTTTATGAAGACCGATTCATTCGAGCCTATGTTATTTACTAAGCTTAGAGATATTGTTGTACAGCAACTTCCCCATAAAAATTAAGAAGAGGAGAAGGTATTGTAAACTTTCGAATAAATGCTTAATGAAATCGACATGCTGTGTCAGGCAAATAAAATAAGAAAGCATAGCATGAAGAGCTAGGAAAGTGATGGAGATAATTAAAATGGAGATACTAATAAAGAAGATGAGTTTGATGAAGAAAAACTCTGTAACATCTGCTATTTTTCTGATAAAAACACTGTGTTTGTTCCTTGCGGTCATTAGTCCTGCTAGAAATGCATTCAAGTCCACACCTAGAATAGGTAATAATTTCAATTATATTAAACTTAACTTATAGTGAGAGATGTCCATTCTGTAACACAGAGATAAAAGAGCTAAAGCAACTGTGAATTAGTAACCAGACCTTAAAAAGTTCATAAATTGATGTTTCCAAATGAAGGATTTAATTCAAATCTGCCAATGAATGCTTTTAGTCATTACGATACATTTAGCAGAAAATTTGCTTTAATTTATGTTGCTTTATTATCTAATATTCCACCTCAAATCTTCTTATTTGTCTTAGCGGGGTTTTGGGGTTTTGGGGTTTTGGGG